TTTTACTACTATATCTTTGCATTGAACACATCTATGAAGAACTTGAAAGAACCACTACCATATTTAGTGTGTAATTTTTATAATTTAATGCTTAGTCATATGACTGTTCAGAATTGTTTATACAAATTCAATAGAAGATTCAACAATAGACCATAGTGCTTATTGTGACTCTTGACTTTACTTGTACGATGTTGGCATGTTTTCTTTAATAGTAATATTAAAAGGGAATTTAGATTTTATTTTTCTATTGTAATTTAAAATGTTGGTAATTAATATTTATGAGTATTAATATTGAGAATCACAGCATATTTCCTAATCAATATGACACAAGAAACAAAGTATAAATCTTATTGGTAAAAACACTAATGGTTATAACTTTCTTGTATTCTTTTGTAGATTACTCCAAATGCAAAGCAGGATATATGTCCAAGAGAGTGAGCACTCTACCCAATAGTATCATTGAAAAGAAATCATTCTCCTTTGCTGAACAAATTAAACAATCAATGATGAGAAAGTCTAAATTCCTGGTAGCATCTCTAGCTTAATTAGGTCACCCTTCCAAAAGAGGAAATATGGAAAGAGAGGATGAGCAAGTGATATGGTAGAAAAATAACACACTTATATGTTGACAACAGTGGCATAGAGGAAATCAACAATATTAGGTAGAGACAACCTTTATCAAGAGCTCAGAAAACAAAATATATAAGTGATTGAGCTTATATATTATAAAGGACCTAACGTATTAGGACAACTACCTAATATCCCAACGAAAATGATGCACATGAATATATATACTAAAAAATATCTCTAGCAACTTTCTATTTGTATGTGCAATGCACAATAAAAAAATATTATGAAAAATATAACCAACTAAAACATTGTCAAAATATGATTATACAATGAAGGAAAAGAAAATGCTGATATTAATATGGGTAATTATGTCATGGGTCTTGAAAATTCCAAATTTCCCATTCCTCAGGATTACACTAAGTTGATGCATTTACAAACTGACCAAGGAGTTGACATCCACAATGGCCATATCTCTTTTGAAATAAGAAAGATAATGATGATAAAAAAAAAGCTTATCTTCCCCAACACTTGCCCGCAATTCTCATGTTTCTATTTCTTGTGTTTCTGTGATTTTGATTTCTTCCAGTTCAAGTTCCTCAGCAATGATCTTGGCTACATCAAGTTTTCCAACAAGACGTGTGTCACTGATTCCTGTAGCATGAGAATTTTCTCTGGATCACTTTCTTTCTGTTTTGTCAACATAAGAACAATGTGTAGTGTCCAGTGATACAGGACAAATTAATACTGTTACCATCCATACCATCCCTATTTGGGGATGCATCAGCTCTCATTAAAAACTTCAAGCAGTGATGTTTGTCAGTCCAGGACCTTGTTGTTCTCTCAAGTACAAATCGATTTCTCTTGCTATCCAGTTTGGAAATAATCATAAACACTACTCTTTCACTAATCAATTGAGTGGCCAGTCACGTTCATATCAGTGCTTGCAGTGACAATAACTCGAGAGTGCCAGTGTGCAAAGCTGCTACATCGGCACTGTGCTCCTCACTGGGAAGCAAACACTGGATATTTTGATCAACTCCAAAATTGTAAAATAGTTGTAAAATACATATCTCTATGCTTTTTAATTTATAACATTATATTTTTTTCATTATTTGGTTTGATAAAGCAAAACCTGTAGGGGGACCAGGATGGTAATGGATATATCTAGAATATGCTTGGATATTCTAGGATATTGTACCATCTAACTGTTGTTATTCATTTAGATTAATCTTGTATTTATAATTTATAAACATGTTATAATTTATAAACTTTCCTAAACACTTCCTAGTATATTATTTTTTATTCTACCATCTAATGGTTAATATGCAATAAGATTAATCTTGATTCATAAATTATAAATATTTTTATAACTATTGATCAATTTTATTATTCAATGACACTACTATTAAGAAAACCAAGTGTTGTTGCATAAAACATGCAAATGTTTTATAATATATGGTTAAATATTTATAAATATATAATGTATAGTATATAATTTAAATTCAAATAATCTATTATCATCTAGAATCTATAGGATAAATAGTGTTATTTTAAGATATTTTTATTTAATTTAAAATTAATTAGTTATGTATGTATACATATTTCTATACTAAACCCATCTAGAAGAAGAATGAAATTAGGTTTTGTGAACCATTTAGAAATTAAATCTTATGAACCAAGCTTTACACACTACTATATAAGGAACTTGAAGATTTTATAAAATCACCAATTTATATAATATAGTGATTGTCAACTACCAAAACCCAAAGCTATTGCAGAGGCATAGCCAACTATGAAGTCTTGTTTAAACAATTATAACTCCAGAAGTAGTTACAAGATGTTAGAACCAATACTATCATCAAGTTTTGTTAAAATAAATTTTCATATTTGCTCCCATTTCATTCAATTTGCTACATTTGAATTATAACAATCCTTAAAGTTTTGATTTTATTTTATTGTATCTTCCCTTTTTTCAGTAGCACTTCAAATTTATGACCTTTATCCTAGACCAACATTATATATTAGAACTTTGTTCATCTTCCATATCCTTATTTTGACCTTCTTAAGGAAAAAAAACTTCTAAAGCATGAGCTTCATGAGGATAAGTATAAAAATCCCAAATTTACAAACATTAAAATTTTAGTTAAGAAATGAAATCATATATCACTAGCTTAATGGCCCTACTTTGTTAGTGTACTAAAATTGTGCTCTTTTCCATATTTATGTTTCCTATGTATGATTTCAAATCTTTTAGCTGGAGACAATTTATAGAAAATTGTTACATGTTTCAGTTTTTTTTAAAATCTTTTGAATAACTTTTATATATAGATTACTAGTATAATTCATGTAATTATAATCCTAATGAAGCATGGTTTATTTATTTTCAAACATTTATCCTATCCTATCCTATTCTATCTAGTGTTCTTGAGAAGTTCATATAAACCAGTCCTTTTTAATATTTTAAACTCGTTATAAGCTTACTGAAATATATTAACTTATTATTTTTAACTAGAATGTTTTTTATATAAAATAATTCCTAAATTTGTTTTTCTATCATGTAAAATCTTGTGGGTGTGTTTAGGGTTGTGTACCACTTTATAAAGGCAATAAAAATAAATTCAAATTTAAATTTCATGATGATGAAAGAAAAATCTTATCTGCCATACATTATTGTGCATTTCTCTGGATACGAATAATAGCAAGTTTTAGATAAATTTAAACTTGAATACAATCAAAATTTCTAACATTATAAAATTAGAAAAGAAGATCTATATATCTGAGGTATGCTATATCTCCTAGTAGAGCTGGAATCTTTGTTAGTGAAGGGTATATACCTTTCTTCCTTACAAGTTTAAGGCACAATAAAGTATGATAAACAATTGATAATATATTGAGTTTTGGCTATGAAGGAGATTTTGGTGTGTTTTGAGCATATTTGTGAGTGAGAGGTGTGCTAGCTATACACCATAAGTGCTATATACACACATACACACACAAAAAAGTCATTGCAACTCACAACTCACAAACAAAGAATTGATTGTTACTTACATATAATGTGTGTTTTGAAGAAAGAATAGTGTTTATAATTGATCTTGTCCCTCCTACTCTTTGAAACCACAGACATGAGAAATTATGATGGCTAGATTGAGAAAAAAAATCACATACCTTATTACAACACCCATGGTGGAGATACTGTAAGAAAAAACTTGCATTTGAGGCTAGCCCACAACAAATCCTCAACCACTAGAATCAATCCTTGCCCTCAAGTTCCTTAAAACCTACACACATGAAATTGCACTGCAATACTCATGAGGAGAAGCCAATAGAAAGTTAATACTACCTATAATTGATCACACCCGGAAGAACCCTAGCCTTACTATCTATTTGCTGAAGAGAAGAGCCTAAGAGAATGCAATAAGCAAAAAATGGGCAGCAAATAAAGAATGAGTAGCAAGCAAGAAACAAGCTAAACATGCTAAAATGAGTGAAAGATGTGTAGAAAACCCATGGTTATGTATGTTTGAGAATATAAATCTGTATCATTCAGAAAAGTTGAAAAACCCTAATAACATTTTCACTTTACCTTTTGTGAGGTTGTAGTCTACTATAGTGTTTATCTTCCCTATGACACTATGTGATCCAAAGGCATGCACATACACATTCCTTTTCAATCTTTACAACAATTCAAATGTGATGTGAATATGTTTATATACTTTGTAAAATGTAACAATAAAAAATTCTTCTAGGTTCACACCCAAACCTTACCATCAATTTTCCTACCATAATCAAGCAGAAAGATAAGCTTTTTCTATAAAAACTGATAAACCTTGAAAGAGGAATTATACTATCTTTATAGAAGAAATCTATATTCTAATATAGTAAATTTTTTAATTATAATAGGAAATATGTATGCAATATGCATTAAATTATTTTAAATATCTTAATATTAAATATAGTATACTATTTTTTAGATAATAAATATGCACAGGAATTTCTTTTGAAAAATAATTTTTTAGAAAAGAAAAATACTATACTTCTATATAGATAAAAAAATAGAAATACTTATAACACACATCATATTTTGACTATATACTAAAGAAGTTATATGCTATTTGCCACTTGCTAAAGAAATGACACTACCAAAGAATTTGTACAACTCATAAAATTGGAGGAAAATATTTATATAATAAAATTTAATTTTCATTTGCATTTTCTTGTGAGAAAACTTGCCTATTCCAATCTAGCCATCTAGGTGCTTGAACATCTGCATCTATGAATCACAAACGATGTTCTTGTGGTCTTGCAATGCCCATCAAGAACTTAGTATAGCATATTCACGTATAACAGACTGAATTCTTTGATGGTCCATAGACTAGTCGTGAGATGGAAACGTGGATGGCACAGTCGAGACTAACGAGCCTTTTCAATAGGTTTGCAAAAATCACGCGATTTTGGGAAAACCAACTAGTCAAATCTTTGATTCCTACCCGCGCTTTCGCCTCCCTCCTCCCACGTGTCGCATCGCCGCGCTCACGTCTAGGGCAACAGTCAAAGCCGTGGTGCCGGAGCCCCAATTTTGACCGGCTGCCTGCCAGTCAATGGTGAAAAGGTAAAAGGCGGGGGCGAGATATATATACTCCATCCCTAACTCTTTTCCCTCAGTGCTAACAGCACTTGGGCTTCTTTTCATTCGATCCATCTCAATTCAATCAATCGGATTGTTTGCTCCCAAGAGTTGTATGGCCAGTGCCGCCACGCCAGTCAGTTGCAAGCTCCTGATCGAAAAGAGAAGCCCCAATCTCGCCAATCAGAGGGATCATCTCCTCAATCTCCAGCAGCAGAGCAAGAAGAAGCGATTCAAGCCGGCTATGGCAGGCTACAATCTGGGTGAATTCTACGCCACCCGCGACGCCTGGAATTCCCGCCACGCGCAATGGCAGAGCCACTGCGCCATTGTTTCCAGCCAGTCCGCCGCCCAGCCCGAGGAGCAGCACGAACACTCCAAGAACACCGGTAGCGGTATCAATGGCGATCTAAAAGAGGGATCCATCCAGATCCTAGCAGCATCAAACGGCGCCGCCGCCAAGTCCATGATGATGATCCTGCCCAAGCCGCTGTCCATTGCGGATCTCGCCATGCCGCCGTCGCACGGATCCACGCTGCGCGTCGCGTACCAGGGCGTCCCGGGGGCGTACAGCGAGGCGGCGGCATCCAAGGCCTACCCGGAATGCGAGCCCATCCCCTGCGAGCAATTCGAGGCCACATTCCAGGCCGTGGAGCTCTGGATCGCGGACCGCGCGGTACTGCCCATCGAGAACTCCCTCGGCGGTAGCATCCACCGGAACTACGATCTCCTCCTGCGTCACCGGCTCCACATCGTGGGCGAGGTCCAGCTACCAGTCCACCACTGCCTCATGGCCCTCCCCGGCGCCTCGATCGAGGGGATCCGGCGAGTGATCAGCCACCCGCAAGCGCTAGCACAGGTGGAGCACACGCTGACCAACCTCGGGCTCCAGGCCGCGCGGGAAGCCGTGGACGATACCGCCGGTGCCGCGCAGCACATCGTGGCGAACAACCTCCGCGACACCGCGGCGGTGGCCAGCGCCCGCGCCGCGGAGATTTACGGCATGGACGTGCTGGCCAGCGGCATCCAGGACGATCCGGGCAACATGACGCGCTTCCTCATGCTGGCGCGCGAGCCCATCATCCCGCGCACCGATCGGCGATTCAAGACGAGCATCGTCTTCGCGCTGGAGGAGGCGCCCGGGGCGCTGTTCAAGGCGCTCTCGGCCTTCGCGCTCCGGAACATCAATCTCACCAAGATCGAGAGCCGGCCGCAAAAGAATCGGCCGGTGCGCGTCGTGGATGATAGCAACCACGGCACTGCGAAGTACTTCGAGTACCTCTTCTACATCGATTTCGAGGCGTCCATGGCGGATCCGCGGGCACAGAACGCGCTGGGGCAGCTCCAGGAGTTCGCGAGCTTCATCAGGGTTCTTGGGAGCTACCCGATGGACATGACGCCGGTGGTACCGCCCGGCAAGCCCAAGGTGATCAGCACCACGTAGCCGGTACCGCACGGTGTGCACTCTATGCCGCGCGGTATACCACGTGAATCGCGCGGGCTACCACGTGCAACATGTGATTGATTTTTCTTGCAAACACAAGATTTGCCTTTGTATTAACACGAATCTCGAATGAATGAAATAAATCTTCCCAGAGGATGGGAAGGACACACAAGTTGATGGAAGAACATTGTGATGTCACGATTAGACTCTCCAAACTTTGTCAGGTTTCTCAAACGTATGGTGGATTGTATTGGAAGTTTTTGCTGCAAAGCTGCACGAATCACGATGGCGATTGTGATGTAGCAACCAATTCTTTAGGTTCTTCCTCCAAAAGCTTTAATGCTCGCCAGAAGAGAGCCGCGATTTCTTGACTTAAGAAATGACTTTAAAGCCGCGGGAGTGGACTTGCGGCCTGGGAATTCAAGCGAGAATAAACGCAAGTGCGCGAATTCAACACAGAAGAATATGAATTGCCTCTGAAAGTTCTTAGCTTCGTGGTTTCATGCGAGGTTCATGAAGGAAATCATATATTTTCAGCTCTGCCTGAGATGTTTGAATCGGACTTTCAGGACTTAGCTCGCTTCAAGATCGGATGGAAAATCTCACTCGGTTCTCTGGTCGAAGTACATGAAGGCAAAACGAGGTTTTCATGTTTGAACAGGAAGTTCTTAGAGACTGAGCTCGCTTGAAGATGGAAAAATCGAGGAAATCATTGATTTTCAGTTCCGCGAATGTTTAAAGCAGACATTCAGGAAGTTCTCAGTGCCTTAGCTCGTTTGAAGATCGAGGATGGAAAAATCTCGCTCGTGTTGACACCCGCGTTCCTCTTGACGGCGCTCGCCACTGTAGTCCAGGCCAACTCGTCCGGCTCGAACGGCATACACCCAAATATCTCCCAAGCACGCTTGATCTCTCCAGCTCTAGCGAACAAATCCACCATGCAAACGTAGTGATCAAGGCATGGATGATCCAAGCCCGAGAACTCCCCGGCCGCGAGCGCCAGGAAAAACACCCGCGCCGGATCGATCAGACCGGCGTGGCTGCACGCAAAGAGAACAGTCACCATGGTGATCCCATCCGGTTTCGTTCCATCCAGCAGCATCGCGAGGAAGAGGTCGATCGAGATGGATGGGCGATCGTTCTGCGCATACGCGAGCATGATCGAGTTCCAGGCCGCGTCGTTCCTCACGGGCATCCGATCAAACACCGCGCGCGCCTCTTCCACTCGACCACACTTCCCGTACATCCCGACGATCGAGGTCCCGACTATGAAGTGCTCCTCCAGCTCCTCGTCCCGGATCGCAGCGTGGAATCGCCGCCCCTCGGCCAGCGCTGCGAGCCCGGCGCACGCATCGATTGCCGCGATGAATGTCACTTCGTCCGGTGCAACACCCTCGAGATCCATGATCACGGGGAGTTGCAGAGCTGTCGCAGCGTCCTCTGGATCCAAACTCGCAGCAAATGCTTTGATGAGCGCCGTCCACGACACGACGTTTCTCTCCGGGGCGGAAACGAAGATCTTCTTAGCCTCCGCAACATCACCGCAATCGCCGTAAGCGTCTAAGATTGCGTTCCAAGACGCAGTGTCCTGCTCCGGCATCAAATCAAACATGCTCCTCGCGTCATGCAAATACCCGTTTTTGGCATACGATGCGACCATGCTCGTCCAGGACACTACGTTCCGCCTTGGCATCTCGTCGAAGAGATTGTGCGCTTCTTCCATCTCTCCGTGGAGTGCGTGTGATTGCACAATTGCGTTCCAAGAAACGATGCTTTGCTGCGGCATTGCATCGAAGAGACGACGCGCTCGGGAGAGATTGCCGTGGTAGGCATTTGCAGTTACGATGGCAGTCCAGGATACAACATCCGGAGACGGCATCCGGGTGACAAGCTCGCTTGCGCGGTCGAGGTCTCCTCTTTGTGCGTACGCCTGGATCATCACGTTCCAGGTGACGGTGTTTGGACAATCAAGCTCGTCAAACAGCCTCTGAGCCTCCAGCAAATGCCCCTTTTTGGCAAATGCTGCAATCAAAACAGTCCAAGCAATAACATCAGGCCGAGGGATCATCTGAAACACTCGGAGCGTTTCGGCCATGCAAAAGTTCTGCTCGTACATGTGTAAGACTGCACTCCACGAGACAGAGTCTCTCTCCGGCATCGTGTCAAACAGCCATTTCGCTCGATGCAAATGCCCGTTTTGGGCATTTGCTGCAAACATGATGTTCCAGGTGTAGACATTGCGGTGGATCATGCCGTCGAACACGGAGCCCGCCAGATCCAGCCGGCGGCACGCACCGTACATCTCGATCAAGAGATTGGCGATGTAGGTGTCGTTCCCGTACCCGTTCTTGGCGATGTGCGTGTGTGCCATCTTGCCTTCGATAAGCGCTTGCGAGTCGCGGCATTGGCGGAGCAGCGATGCGTAGGTCGCGGTGTCGGCCTTGAGGCTGAGATTGTTGAGCGCCGCGGTCAGCTTCTCCACCCTCATACATTTGATCGATCGAATGGAGTGAATTGGAAGCCTACATCCAAAATGAAAAGCAATCAATTTTTCCTTTCTTCGTCAGTGGTTTGTCGATTCGTGATGCATTATTGCCGCCCAAATGGATAGACTTGGCAAGAAACGTCTCCGAGGAGACGATCAAGAACAAGTGGGCTCCTCTCGATTCGCGAAAGAGACCCTTCTTTTATTCTCACTCTCTGTGTTGTCAAGCTTTCCATGAATCTTTTCTCTCTTATGTGACCCCCACACGCACACCCGGCAGAGTTTCAATCTCTCGCAGCATTTTCTCCGCATAGAACAAGACCAGATCTTTTTTTGTTCTCATTTTGTTTACGGTATCTACAAGCAATCTACAAAGAAAAATCTAGGCACTTCTTCTATCTCGCATAACCAACATAACTTACACATAACTTACGCTGATGAGATGATCGATGGATCATCCACTCGATCCAAGCTCTCTATCCAGCCGGGAAAGAGGAGCTAGTTTTTCTCCTCCTCCGTCGGCCTCAGCGTCAAGCAATCTAGATACAGCCCACCCTTCCAGTAGCTGCAATCCACTTCCCGGATGCAAAACTCGAGCTCCAGCGGCTGGGCGATCAATCTCTCGCCCTCCACGACGATCTGCCCGACCTCAAACTCAAACCACTGCTCGAACCCAGTGACTGGGACCTGCTTCATCAGGTCCAGCTCCTTCTCCAAGACTTTGCCGTGCGTGATCTTGAGCCGGAAGAGCAGCGGCTTCTTCCAGGCGAGATAGAGGATCTGTCCGAATTGCGGGTTTGCTACCTTGAGCCTCCAAGTGGCCGAGTACTTCCCCGGAGTTAGCGAGCATTTCCATTTCCCAAACACTTCCAGCCGGCAAACCGCGAGTAAGTGCGCTACCTGCGATCAAGAAAAGGAAGAGTTCGACGTGATCAATCAATCAATCACTCTCTCGTGAAAGAAAGAAAAAACTAGATCGGCCAATCACAAACTGTCGCGAGGAAAGAAAAAGAAAAGTTTCTAAGTAGAGAAGAAGATTAGGTGAAGGGATGCTCTAAGCAACGCAAGAGAAAGACCCCAGAAACACTGCAATATGACGAAGAGACATTTCCAAGCAAAGCTTATCCCCCCCTGGCGATGGAATCCATCCATCAATGCGAGCAATCCTCGTATCGAGCTGCTTGGAGCTATGGAGAGGGCAAGGCAAGATTTTGCAATGGAGCTCAAAGTGGAAGACGAAGAATCGAAATATCGGAATGGCAGTGCTAGCCCAGGAGGCCGAGCTATCAATCGATCGCTCGATGCAAAGAAAGAAAGAAGGCGGCAATGGAACAAGAAGAATGAAAGAGAGGAGGGATTTCTTACCTTGCCAAAGCAAGAACTCCGCGAGTCCTCCCAGCGCCAAAATCTCGCGTCCTGGCCCCAGGTCACGCCCATCCCGGCCACGGACAGGATCCTACACACCCCGCCGGTGCGTCGCAGCAGCAAATATTTCTGCCGGCCTCCACTCACGAAGATCCCCTCCGCCAGGGCCTGGAGGAGCTCCTTCCAGCTCTTCCATCCATCCCTGTAATCGCAGCACTCGCCGCGCACATCCGATGGGAGCAGCCCCTGCCACACGAGCTCGGAGCTCGCCGCCGCCGAGAAGGCCTGGCTCACCGACGCGAGGCGGCACGCATCCAGCGGCGTTGTCCGCCCGATGATCGCCGCAATGCAATCGATGGGAAGATCGCCGAGGCTCGACATTCTTGAGACGAGAGAGCGTTCTTCTCTTTAGCCCTCTCGTCCTGTTCTTCTTCTATTCATCGCCAGATATTCCAGTAAATATTCTTTTGGCATTCTAATTTAGGGTTCGTCGAGGCGATGGCGGAGCTGGAGGCGATGCTAGGGCTCCGCGACTGATGCTTCGCGGGGATGGAAAACGGCACTGCTGCTGCTCCGAATCCTTGCTGCAAGCAGGTATATCCTAGATTCTTTCGCGATTTGATCGAAATCGAGTCTGTCAATCGATCGCTGCAGCTCGCGGAGAAGCTCGAGAAGAGCGATGCCGGGAGAAAGAAGCTACGGCAGGCGATATCGATGCTCAAGGAGAAGCTGGAGGCCGCCGACAAGGTTATGCAAGAGAATGACGCTCTACGACGAGGTGTGTGGCTCTATCTCTTTACTCGCAAACTTTTTTCTTCGTCTTTTGCTCTTGTGGTGATCATCTAATCCCCCGGAACCCTTCCATAGGGATCTGTCTATCGTTTTTGGCCCAAGTCTTGCTTGTAAAGGCTCTCATAACGATGCGAGCCATTGGGGATTGCACAATGAGGCAGGCAACACACTGGTGTTTACAATACCAGTCTTGCTTCTTTGTGCATGATCCTGAGACAGGGACTCTTAGTCTCAAATTGGTAGGAATGGTGGATGACTTTGTCGAGGAGCTCACTCTCGTGTTGTATTCTTTTGTTGACAGATTGCGAAAAAGAGCGTGAGCGTGCTGCAATGGAAAGACAGGCTGCTGAGAAAGAGAAGAACGCCCGGCTAGTGCTGGAGGTGGAGGGCCGGTCTTTGAAGGAAACACTAGCCATGGCAATAGCCAGGATAGATTTCCTGGAGGCCACACAGGCAGCTGATCGGAAAGAAGTGCAGCATTTGCGTAACGAGGTACTGATTTATGTTCGCTTTTCTTTTGCTTAAAGAATAAATCTTACAGGTGAGAGTGGCCGTGGATGGCGTTCGTGCAGCTGTAACCACCAGCGAAACAGCGCAAAGAGTATGTATAAGTCTTGAGAAGAACCTGACGGCTAAGGTATGCCTTTCAACCTCGTGCTACGTAGAAGTACTGAACAGATGTTACAGGTCAATGCGCTTCCAACAGCCGGTGGACAGAACTTGCAGGCTCAAAATGGACTTAAAGCTCTCCAGGGAACTGTCAGCACTTCTCAAAAGGAAATGGCCGCGCTGTCTACGAGGTTGGCAGCGTTGGAGACACAAAATGCACAATATGTCGATCAACTGAACCAGTTGCGGCAGCCCACAGCCGTAAAGACCGCAAAGCCCACGGAGGCCGTCGCTAGGAAAACTCCATCGAAGCTACCTCCGAGATCTCAACAACAAAGGCCTGACTTAAATCGTCAGAGTGTGGTCCGGGACTCTCGGTATACTTCCACTTCAACCGGCGCCATTCAAGTGATACCCGGAATTGCAGACATACTTCAACCATTGACGTCGGCATCGAAGAAAACAGGCTCTGTTGTGCATGGCGAGAATCACGAGCAGGCGAAGGCTTATACTGCCAAAGCCACGCAGGACAAAGACCCGGTTTATGAGACTGCAAAGGATGGGTCAGACTTAACTGTTCAGGACGATTGTGGTGGGGCAGGAAAAACAGCAAAAAAGCTGTTGCACTCACTCAGCCGCCTAATTCACAAGGAGAAACGGGCGCATTCGAGAATGGAGGTCAAACTGTGTGAGCTGGAACAAGCACTTAATCACAGTGAGTCTCCTCAAGCGAAACAGCGTAAAAAGAGAAAGAGAAGTGGAGCTGAGGCAACCAATTCTAAACTTTCATCGAAAGCACAGGCGAGCAGGAAAAAGCGGAAACTGAAGGTGGATGCTGTCGTCATTGATGATGACTCGGAGATGGAGGTTCTCGTTGAAAAGTGGCTGGACGCGAAAAAGAATCTGCATTCGCCAAACTTACCTGAGGTTCCGTCGCGGGCACAAACTGCGATTAGCAACTCGGAGACTCGACCGTGCACGGCTGCGTCACCTCAGGATGTTTCAGGACATGCTTCAGAAGTTCCAAACGTTCAAAGCTGCCAACAAAATATTGGAAGAGCAGAAGTCTGGAAGGTCCAAGGCTCTTCCAAGGATGAAGCCTGCCAACAGAATACTGGGAAATCAGAAGTTTTGATAGTTCGAGGCCGCGAACAGGACACTGGACATGCCGCAGACTTGGACACCGTGACCAGGTATCAACTCAGTCCAAGGTTGCTTTCTACAGCTCCTCAAGCTGTCGTTGAGGAACGTGGGGGTCAACTGAATTTCGATGATCGAGACGAGCTGCGCATTTGGTTTTCTGATGCGAAAGAAGTGCGCGGGGCTATTTTATCAAATGAAGATTGCCCGAACCAGAGCGTTTTGGATATGGAGATAGTTGCCGGCTGCTTCGTGGGTGATGACGGGCTTTTGAAGCCTTCAGAATCATGGAAGCAAGAGTTTGAATCGAGAGCCAGTGGCCTGGCTTTGAACATAACACTGAGGTGAGCATGCTTGTCTTGGGCTGCAGGATTCTAACATCTTTGGCAGGTCATCCTTGCTGGTAGTAACTTCGAGCATTGTCAACATCCTAACGACGAGACTGTTTCATGGTAACGTGGTTTTCCAGTTCGGGAGCTTTCTCTGCAATGGTCAGTAGCATCCCTTTTAAAAAAATACATCAGAATCTGATATGTTGCTGTATGCTACAGTTTTAACTGGAAAGCGTGTGGCCTTTGATACACTGCTGAGGCTTCTCTCCAGTTTCCTTATCTTCGGCGAAACTCAGTTTTTTATGGCTATAATGACAAGAGACGAAAAGGAAGTTCACAGACTAGATTGTTTTGCTGCTAAAGCAACAGCGGACGAGGTTGCTGCTGCTAGTAAGCTCCTCGCAACTCTATGCAACATATCTGGCCATTTCCGGCTCTTGCGCAAGATCACTCACAAGATTCTACGCTGGAGCCTGATGGATGTCGGTCTGTTGGTCACCGTTTTGGCTTCATTTGCCTCGGTTTCGAAACAGCTCCTCTCAGATACAGTGATCCGATGTGTTGCTTCCGAGCTGATTGCGGAGGTGGTGGTTCCGCAACAATGTGGTGCGCTTGCCAGTTTAGATGGGAAGCTACAGGACAGGAAGCTACTAGAGCACTTCGAAGTTTCGGTTGACGCCACTGTACAGGAGGTTGTACGGGCCACACTCGACCTTCTCTGCACTTCCAACTTACCGGGTTTTGATTTCATAAAGGAAATGGAGTGTCAACGTATAAGCTCGAGCTGTTTTGAAGAGACCGAAGCTTGGCCCATCCAGTTTCATGAAGCTGTCGAGGCTCTGGAGCTTATCTCCTTTCACATGGTAAGTGTCTTCTTCTTTCGGGTTTCATCAATGACATGTTGTTCAGGGATGGGAATGGACATACAACAATCTTATCGTAGAGAGATTATGGGTCCTTGTGGCGCCTGGTGTTGCACAAACGACAGTAGGAGGCGTTGCTCATCTCCTTGGTAGCCTAGGAAGGTATTTATCACTAAACACTCATACTTGTTCTAATTTAGTGTCATTACAGGCTAGGCTTGGAAGGTGGCCAGGAAATGCCTGGTGTTGACAAGCTGAGACAAAGCTTGGCTTTTATACTTGAAGATGGGAACCATGAGCAAGGAAGGTTTTCCTTCGCGACTCGCCTGGTTGCGGCAGCTGCCCTGTTGGAGCTGTCAGTTCATGATAAAAGGGCTCCACGGTTGACAGATGACGATGATGCAACCGACAGTCAAGGCCTGGACGTTCTGAGCTTGGACTACGTGAAAACCGTGCAAGACTGGTTCCACAGTTTGGACAGCGAGAAGCAGAGCAGCGTACCCCTTCGTCTGAAGAACCAGATTTTTGCTATCCATGTGCCTTCTCGTAGAGCGCTTGAGGAGCTGCCTGAGAACGAAAAAAACGATAAAAGCGCTCCTTGACACCTTATGACCAGCTCGTTGAGGTATCAACGTCTTCGTTATATTCCCTCTGCCTGTCTTAACTCATCCTCTCTCGCTGACAGGGAAAGCTAGAATCGCAGCTGAGCTCCTCCGGCAGGCCACTGCAAGAGTTTTGATCGACCGGGACAGATCGCAAACCGATCATCTATGCTGTTGTCGGCGTGCTGGATCTGCATTGAGCCCAGTTCCCAGCCAGTATCTAAGAGACGATGAGACGACGAGTTCGTGAACTTTCCGTCTTGGTGGCGAATGGCACGCGTAGTAAGACAAGAACGAGGCGGCTCGGCATGGCCCAGGCTTGTCGTTGCTCCCCTTCGAGGACATACTGATATGAATAGCGAATCACTTTGGCGTCGTTATCGCGTAAGTTTTTCTTTCTTTCCTTTGCTCTGGTCCTTTCTCACTTGTCGTGGCTCCCAGGATCCGCGGTCGCTGTAAGGCAGCGAATTCGCTGGCAATGGCTAAACATCCAAGCCCGCATTTCGACATGACAGTGAGCTTAACGCGATAGTGATCTTAACGATTGGAAAAGTTTCTTTGGCCAGTCATAGATTACAAAGCTGCTATATCTGACTGGAGAGGCCTAGACTGGCTATGGACGGAACAGTGTCACTGATATCAACAGTGGTGTTAACAACAAAACCCGAGGAAAGTGCCAAACTGGAGAATGGGATCACTCAACAACTGAAATTTCAATGCTCCCGAAAATCCAGCGAAGATGCTCCAGTTGCATGGATTGTTAAATCGCCAGGAATGTAATCACTCCATTCGCATGGATTGTTAAATCGCCAGGAACTTAATCAAATGAGAGCAAACGTTTTGTTAATCAAAGGTTTTGTTGCATTCCAAGAATGGGGCTTGTTTAGCGAATCTTGGGTGTGCCACTGTTCTTGCATGGTGAGTTTTACTAGGTTGGATTTTGGAGCACCGCCAATCAAACCAAAGGTACCTGACGATATCAACTAAACTTTGCGAGAAATGGGAGCGAGTTAGTCCCTCCAAGAGCTTGGATTCCAAAAGCCAAAAAGGTGACGAGCAACACGTACAAATGCATGCGTCAAACGCGACTTTTCACCACCGATCTTTTCAGCAAAGGAAAGGTTGACGGAGCCGTCATGGAGCCCGATCGATCGTATACGCATATATTCCCCAGACAGTGCCGTTTGTTACAGTGGGCGAAAGAAAAAAAAGAGGAAGAAATCCCATGGTACGACGGGTATATTCCACCTCACGCACTCCCAAACAAAGGTGGTACATGAAAACAAGCGGAAGGATCTCTAGGCGGCGCTGTCCAGTCCCCAGAGAGGCTTTGTCGCCATGGCCTTCTTCCAAGTTGTTTATACAAGTTTTTTTTCTAGAGTAAGTATTTTGGTGAATGTGGATCACTATGGCACTGTTGGTTTCACTGTTGCTGCTCATCCATGGCTTGTTTCTAATTTTATAAACACCGGGTGTTTTGGCAGCTTTCACAGTGTGATAGTGGTATATTTACCAGTCTAGTTTCGTGAGGCATAGCCTGTGCCTCAAATCTAGACGACCAGTTTGTAGTATGTGTGTCTATGCCTGGTTGAAACACGAGGAACTTCCCCTGAGTGTGGTAAGCATTATAGAGTTTGATCCACTATTAGATCCTGCCTTCGCAATCGTGTAGAGTTGGATTGAAATGTTGTTTGCGCAGGAGCTTTGGTGATTCTAATCTCTTATGGTGATTCGTCTGGCGAGGATGAGAGTTTATAAGACTCTCATCGTGGGATCTCTCAACCGGTCGGCTGAGCTTCCCAAGGTGTCCAAGTTTAAGTTCGTGATGCTTGACTTTGAGGTGTTTGGAACCTCCCGTGGTGGTAAAGGACTCAAACAGATATCTGTGTGATCGACACCCGAGAAAGAAAACAATCGTTCATCCACAGCGCCTGGAAGCCTTCGAAGATCAGCATCTAGCTTTAAACCATTAATCATGTTGAGACAGTCCGTGAACTATCAGCTCCCAGCGGCGGCGACATCGTGCTCCAGATCATACCTCGACTCCAGGGAGCTCGCATTCCTATCCAAGGAGGAGCACAGTAGCCCTGGACCGGAGAGGTACTATTACAACACTCCCGAGAAGCTCAAGAACAACACGACAATCAAGGAAGCGTGGCCACTGTCGGGGCTCTCGGTGCGAGGCATCAGCATCCTCCGCGGATCAAACGACGCCGCCTGCGTGGAGCAGCTTCTCCTCCACTGCGCCACCGCGCTGGAATCCAGCGACACCACTTTCGCCCAGCAGATCATGTGGGTTCTGAACAACATCGCCGCCTTCGATGGCGATCCAAACCAGCGCGTCGCCGCCTGGTTCCTCAAGGCGCTCGTCTCGCGGGTGTCGAGAACGCTGCTCCCATTCAGCTCCTCGCCGCCCAGATTCCTTCCCAGCTCTTCTCCCACTGCCGCTGCCAACACGAATCTTTCAGTAAGTTTGTAGAGTTCTCGTGCTCGCTAGAACTGGTTCTTAGATTGCTTTGTTCCCGTTTCTCGCAGGTTTTCCAAGACTCTTGCTTGAACCTCGATGCCAGCAGTGCCTCTTGCTTCGACAACCGCCTCCTCACTCCAATCCAGCTCGCCAAATTCGTTGATCTAACTCCATGGCACCGTTTTGGCTTCTCGGCGGCAAACGGCGCCATCCTCGAGGCCGTCCAGTCGCGCGACAAGATCCACATCCTCGATCTGAGCATCACGCACTGCATGCAGTGGCCGACGCTCATCGAATCGCTCTCCAACCGGCCAGGTGGACCGCCCAACAGCGTCCGGTTGAGCGTATTGACTGCCCGCCCCAGCGTGCCACCCTTCGTTGACATGCCGTACGAGGAGCTGGGCACACGTCTCCGTACGTTTGCCCGCAGCAAGCGCGTCAACCTCGAGTTCGAGGTGGTGAGCTCCAGCGATCTGATCCCGGGGCTCTTCCAGATCCGCGATGGCGACGAGGCATTGGTCGTGAACTGCCAGCTCCGCCTGCATTACTTCCCGGAGATCGATGACCACGACGACCCCCACTTGGATCATCACGGGCTATCATCGCCGCGAGACGAGATCCTCCATCTCATCCGGAGCCTCAACCCGGACATGGTGACGCTGGTGGAGGAGGACGCGGACGTAACATCGCCCAGCTTGGTGGATCGCCTCCGCGCGGCCTACAACCATCTCTGGATCCCGTTTGATCTGCTCGAGTCGTGCCTGGCCAGGAACCACGAGCTGCGCCTGCAGTACGAGGCAGATGTTGGGCGGAAGATCGACAACATTGTGGCCTGCGAGGGAGAGGCGCGGATCGAGCGGCTCGAGTCGAGGGACAAGTGGAACCAGCGGATGAGGTTTGCGGGGTTCCGGCAGCTGGGATTTTGCGACGAGGTGTGGGGAGATGTCAAGTGGATGCTGGAGCAGCATGCCACTGGGTGGGGACTCAAGCGCGATGCGCACGACTTGCTGCTCACTTGGAAGGGGCACAATGTGGTGTTTGCTACTGCATGGACTACAGGCTGATCATATGATATTCATGATGTTTGTTCCTGTGAGAAACTTCAGGTGAGTACTATCACGAAAGGTTGAACTTTGTTTTGACGATACTTTCGTTTCTTGTTTTCCCAGCTTTTTATTTTGATGTGTAAAAACATGCTCGCTCGCTCATCAGTTTGTTCCTGAAAGCCTGGAATGCTGGTTGAAGCGTTTAGATATGAATCAATATGGCATCGGTAGCCACGAAATCATTCTCAATGGAAGCAGTAGGAGCAATGTGGTAGCTTGAGCACTCCCATCGCAGCTACCTGTCTCACGTAACCATTGTTATCCTTGAGGCCCTTCCTGAGAGACCACTCCACGAATTCATCGTTTGTACAGTCCTTCCATCAATATAAAATAACAGTTCCTAGTTGAATGTTACTCAACAATACGTCTGGAGAAACAGGCAGAGCAATCATTCTTGGGGGGATTTGAATTTCCACGTCTCTAAGGTGTGTACCCATCTTCCTGCAGCACAAGCATGGCACTTGATGGTACTCCTCCTTCATATGCACCAGTTAAGTGGATTAGTTCTCAGCGATAATATTACTTTCTGTATTAATGCTTACGTGGCACAAACCAATTCTCCAGAATTTGATTTGTTCGTTCAAGGTGGATAGACTGCAAGACCCTGTTATATGCATAATATGAATTCCTGCTGTATAAGATAGGATTTCTTATGCTTGACGGCAATATGTGTTTACAGGGAGGAATTCTATCATTTGGCACATTATGTGCTTACTATTTTTAGGTTTACCTACTAGATCTTAAAAATTAAAAGTTCAAATTAGAGGCTCTAACAAACTCAAAATATTTAGTTTGCAAATCTTGCTAGGAGACAAAAGCATTGCATATAACCCTAGACCGAAGGATGGTGCTCAGCCACAGTTAGCATTGGATTCTACATGTCCCAGCAGTTAATCCTTATCTGAGAGGCTGCTCTAGAGACTTAGGGAGGAGGATCAAGGCAGTCGCCTGGAGCCTCCATCGCTGACAACACCGGGGTGGCATTGGAACTCTTTTGATTACATTGCCTCAAGGCTTTAGGTTTGCAAGTTCAAGGATCTCAACCTCTGGGACTCCATAGCAATAGCCAGTGTTTGCACAAAGTCTTGTCATGTCTATATTCTTGATAAAAGAAGAAACCACTACTGTCCTTTTATCCAAAATGTTATTTATCAATCAAGAATGTCATCATCCAGAAGTAATATTTCACTTGCTTGGAAAACTTGAACATACTTTGAAAAATAAAAATAAAACTTTCAAATTAGAGATCACCTATACATACATCTAAATCCACTTTATCCCATGCACATACATATATATGGTTGTTGCAATAGAGAATAAAGATTTATGACATAAATATAAATGAAAATATTGGATAACAAAAGATAAATTAAAACCCATTTCAACCAATATAAAAAGATTACAAGGGATCTTTTATTATAAAAACAGATTTAAAAAAGATCAGTCATAAAAACAGCTTAAATTGTGAATACTAAGTGAATTATCCCAAAAAAAAAATAGAAGGGTCACTAATTTAATACTCATATTTTCCAAAAAAATCTTTGTGTCAAGATAACACTAATATGACTGAAAGTCTCCTTACCTAAAAAAGATTGGCTGCCTCATCTAGCCTACTATGGTAAGTGTAAGTTTGGACCATGGATGACCAGCTAACCATGTCGTGCTGGGCTGCCTTGTCAAAGGTTTGCTTGGCCCTGTCCAGGCATTCATTCTGAGCATAAGCCATGAGCATGCAATTCCATGAGACAGGAGTTCAATGAGGCATCTCATTAAACAACCACTTCAATTCAACAAGCTTTCCATTCGTGTGGAGAGGTATCAATTCGGCCAGTAGCTGCTCTCTAGGATCCGCCCGTGGATCCTTCTGGCGTGAGCCAAATCCTTGGGCTCACGGCAGAGACGAGCAAGCGTCTCGACCGCCCTGTTCATTGGATGTCGTCCACGTGGCCAGAGCGATGGATTCTATAGATTCGCATCTTTCTTATATCTTCCAATGTTTAAAATATTCCAGATCTTACAATGCCTCTAACACCTGGTAGTTTAAACTAAGCATCTTGTTCTTTGGTACTACCAAAGATGAGTACGTTTGCTTTTCTAATTGTGATTTTTTTATGTTGTCCAAAATAGCATTTTTTCCCAAAAGTTCCATTTTTGAACGAACCTAAAAATAATAAACATAAAACAAACAAAAAATAGAATTGACAAAAAAGTTATACATGTAAGATGAAGTTTGTTAAAGTGCTTTTTTTCCCTTTTATTTAACAGATTTTTTCATTGACGTTACCTTATTAACTACTGTAGAGATTTGCTTGGAAATTCATCCTAACATGGCCTTCCAAGGCTACTTAGAGGTGTATATTTCTGGGTTGTCACCTTTCATTAATTCGATTTATATTCCAGAAACATGAAAATTTCTTTTTTTTTTTGAAAAGTTAAAAAATAACAAAAGAAATAACAAAACATATTTCTCTTATAACTTACAAGTATGATATCAACAAAAAAAAAATTCAATTATTAAGTAACTTGAAAAGCTTACTCTATAGGGTCTAGCTTTACATAGAATCTTATGATCACAAATAAGTATACAGCTCTGGTTCTTTAGTATTTCTCCCTTAATGGTAATTAGCACTCTCCTGACAAATCTATAAACTTGCCTTCTAATATTGCAATATGAGTACAAAATAATCTGTAACACTATCATTTTACAGTCCCAAGAAAATGGCTATAGAACAATGCTAGTCATTTCTGAACTCTTGGGAATTGATTATATTTCAAGAAAGATTGTGATGGATTGAATACCAATTGCAACCATTGGAAAATTTCAGCAACCTTCCTTTCTATGATTTTTCAATTCAACTTGACAGTTATAATGAGAGTTCTTTTCTAATCCATGACTGGTATTCAAAGTTAGAAGACCGCTAGCCTTTTGCAATGAGTATAATCAGTGGCTTTGAATCTTTAGGTTCATCTGTTGATGAACCATATACCTTTAACTCGGAAGATATAAAACCCTTTTACAGATCAATTGGAAACTTATTCTTTATGACTTGGTTACCAAGGAAGCGCCTTATGACAGTCCTATTCATACAAGTCCTCCATGCCCATTGGCTATACCGAATGGAGACATGTCGATTGGTGGCATCGTTTTAATCGATATAGGAGATCGTGTTTGCAAATATCCATCTCATAGTCACAGCTGGATTATCAGTAGAAGATGGTTACATTGCGCTATGGGACACAGACGTTCAGAAGTATTTGTGGGTTGCTCCATTCCTTCCGCACCCATAGTGTATCAGTACTAAGGAAAAAAAACAGAGGAAGTTACCTATCTGGAGACTCGCCTTCCATTGATCTTGAGAAAAGATAAATCAAAGTAAAACTTGGAACCTGCGATCTCACTCGAAACATTCTCGTTCTATACCCGTGCCATAGGAAGTGGAGGGCGATCGTGGCGAATGAAGCGGCTGAGGCCTGCTCTTGTAGAGAACAGCATGGAGTTTAGAGATGGAAGAAAAATGATGTTTACAGGCTCGAGAGTTACCTCTTTCGTTTGCCATCTCGTAAATGGCAATGGCCACAAGAGCTTTGGCGTCGGCAGTGTACCTCCATAGATTTCGATATGGCCGTCAGATGAACTTTGATGACCTCGCCCTGCTCAACCATCCTTGTCGTTAGATCGATCAAATCGGAGTTTTTGACGTGAATTCTTGTCCTCAATCTTTATTCGCAAAGATGAGATGCTTTAACTCTAGCATTCAATTCCAGAATCACACGATAGCCTGAGATTCTTTTCTTTTTCGAGGAGCTAGTAAACAGAAAGTTCTTACTTGCTCAGGTTTCTCGTTCGCCACTCAAGGAGCCGGACCGGCGATCGTCTTAAGCCTGTCCACTGCCGTGCTATATCGAATCACACGATCAGTGTTAGGGATCCAAGCGTTTGAAATATTTTACCCGACTACATTAGGAAAGCTCGAATCTTTGTCGTCAAGAAGAACTTCCTATCGGACCTTTTGGTGTGGCGAGTACTAGCGATCGTGACGCCTGGACAGAGACTGAGAAAACTCTTCTAGGATAGGCCGGGCGAATGTCACTTTAGCGAATCACACCATTGTCGATGAAGAATCCTCGCGCGCTCGCCTCATGGCGATAGCAGAGAATGCATTTACAGCAGCTAAAATCGGGGCTGAGATCTCGGCAATCTCGGCATCGAAATCTTGCGGCAGCTCCAGAGACTTGGAACCTCCACTCGGATGCCGCCATCCCCGGGGATGACTCCTACCCGTTCGTGGCCAACACGCTCATCAGCACGTACTCCAAGTGTGGCCCCATGACCGAAGCTTGCGCCGTCTTCGACAAGATGCCCCACAGCGGCATTGTCTCTTGGACGGCTTTGATGCTGGGCTACACGGACAGTGGCTAAGGCGACACGGCCCTGGAGCTCTTTCAGCAAATGCAGGCCGATGGCTGCCAGGCCAATGCTCAAGCTCTCGTCGCGGCGCTCAAGGCTGGTTCAGGAGGAGGCCCAGCGCGTGAAGATTTGTGAAACCGAGCTCACCCGCAAAGGTAAGGCTCTTCACTGGAAAGCTTCCATGACACTGATGGTTTCGTTTGACTGCCATGTACATCAAGTGCGGGAATATGTATTCGTGTCCGTAGTTGCAAACCAAAAATTCTCTTGATCACTAAATTACTCAAAACCTTTGTAGGTGGCCTCATAATTCATAGCCTTCTTCTTAATAACACTGTTCACCTGGAATAAAATTCCAAAGTTTTAGCACAGCTTATAGGCCTAGATTTTTTCTGCTACTATGTTTCATAGTTGGGCACGAAGTTCCAATATAATCATGTACTAAAAGCAATCTCTGGGTGTTCTTTGTCTATAGAAGAATGAAGCGGGAAGTCCAATGAAAGCTCGGCCTCGGCAATCCCTGCAAGCTTGAAAGCCTGCACGACTTGGTCGAAAACAACACCATTTCCAGCCGCAGTAAGGTGAAGTCCGTCGCTGCACGAGAAGAAAAAATCAGTCAGTGAGAGGCATAGAAACCAACCTGAGATAGATCGATCGCCAATCGTGGTTCTTCTGGAAAAGCGTCCATAGATCAATGACAGCTACATTCTCTTCAGCAGCTACGGCCTTGCAAGCCGAGGCATACTCCTGGGCCACTGCATTCGTCCTCTCGGGGAGCTCGTGAGCATCTCGACCATAAGTATGTCTAGAACAGCCAAAACACACGCGAAGTAAGGACGGATAGAACACACAAAAGAAAAGAGCAGACATAGCAAACTCCCGACGAGCTTTCTCATCAATTGGAGGAGGAGTGATGAGGACGATGTGTGTGCGTTTAGAGACTGCCTATGGAGAGAAGAAGAAACGAGAATCCATTAGTGTTCTACTGTGGTGTTTCTCTACCTTGAGGTGCGAGATGATGCGCTTGAGATTTGTCTTGTAAGTTGGGAGTGGAACGTGTTGGTGAGAGCTGCCACGGTCGGGCAAAGCGGCATCGTTGGCTCCAAAGAAAATGGTCACGGCCAGTGGAGCGTCTTCTTCCTGCCAAGAGTATCAACACTTCAAACGATCAAAGACCCTGAGTAGAAAACACGGCACAAAATGGACTCATAACACTCGTACCAAAGAGGAAGGGAAGATCTTGTGTAGGAGGAAAAGTGCCCAGCTGCTATTGTAGCCACTGTAGCCTCGAAGCACAATATCCGCCTGAATGGAAAGAACAAATCGAGCAAAAGCTTGGCTGTTACAATGTTACCTTGCGGCAGTAGTGATGAGCTAGAGCAGCGCCCCATCCACCAGGCCCAAAGGATTGCTGCGTGATAGAATCGCCAAACAACACAATCCTGGGCCTGGCCGGCCCCATCCCCCACTCTCTCAAGAACCCTAAAAGTACTCTGGCATTTTTTAAAAGTTTAAAAGATTAAAGAATATTCTGCGTAGATTCTCCTCAAGAAAAGGGATGAGAAAATTAGGTCGACACCATCTCTGGTGGAACTTACGCTGCGCTCGCGGCGGGGAGGCGGAGGAATCGATTGAATCCCTCGCGAGTAGGGTTCTTTGACCGTGCGGTAAGATCTTGGCGACGAGAAGGTGGAGGGCATTCGGAATGAGGAGGAGCGACACAAGGGGCTTTTCTTCTCCTCCTCCCTCGCCAGGCCGCCTAGTTTAGCGAGATGAAGGGCCACGATCTTCTCAACGATGTGCTGCCGGACGAGGCGCTCATTCACATCCTGAGCTATCTGGACGTTCCCAGCGACCGGGGCTCGTGCTCGCTGGTTTGCAAGCGATGGTGGCAGCTGGAGAGCGAGACCCGGCACTCGATCCGGATTGGCGCGTCCGGGAACCCGGACGCTTGCGTCACGGCGGTGGTGAGACGATTCACGGGGCTGCGAGACGTGAGCTTCGATGAGAGGGTTCCAATCCAGCTCCACCACCAGGGCCGGCCTACTTTCCAGCCGCGGCGATCTTTTCTTCTCAGGACGCCGAGAAGGGGCAGCGCAGATCAGGTACGATTCTTCTTTCTTATCTCTAGTTTGTTCTTGCTTATCTTCGCTCGACTCTTTCTTTGCGTGGATTCTTCCTCGGCTTGTTTGGTTGAGAATGCTCGCTCTTTTGGCTGGTTCTAGAGTTCTTTCCTTGGAGGTTTTCAAAGTTTGGTTTTTCCTTGATCCAGAATGGCGACGCGACCAGCCGGAGGGGACGAAAGCGTCGCAGAGGAGCTGACGAGCTATCACCACTCTTGACGGAGAGTCTGTGGAGCAGCCTCTCGGACAGCGGGTTGATGCTGCTGGGACAAGGATGTCCGAGGCTGGAGAAGCTGACGCTCGTCTGGTGCTCGGCCATTAGCAGCACCGGATTCAAGTCCCTGGCCGAGAATTGCTGCGGCTTGAAAAATCTAGAGCTCCAGGTGAGCCGCTTGCTTGCTTTCTTTCTTTCTTGACGTTGGGAGCTCTCATTGCTCTCATTGCTTCGCAGGGATGTTACGTAGGAGACGACGGGCTCAAGGCCATCGGTCAGTTTTGCAAGCTCGAGGATCTCAACCTTCGCTTCTGCGATGGAGTAACGGACTTGGGACTTATGGCGATCGCCACGGGCTGCGCAAAGTCACTCAAGGCGCTCATCATATCCGTGTGCCCCCGGGTAACGGACGCGACTCTGGCAGCCGTGGGAAAGAACTGCTCGCTGCTGGAGAGGCTCACGCTCGACTCGGAGGGATTCAAGAGTGACGGCGTCCAGGCCGTGGCCAGGGGATGCCCGAGGCTCAAGTACCTGAGGATGCTGTGCGTGAACGTCGAGGACGAAGCCTTGGACTCCGTGGGACGCTACTGCCGGTCGCTGGAAACGCTAGCGTTGCACAGCTTCCAAAAGTTTGACAAGTGAGCTCTTCGTACTCTTCTTCGTTCGTTCTTCTTACTTTTGGATCCATTTCTCTGCAGAGGCTTCTTGGCGATCGGGCATGGCTGCAAGCAGCTCACAAGCCTCACGCTGAGTGACTGTTACTTCCTCACGGACACGACGCTGGCGGCGATTGCCAGCGGCTGTACTGAGCTCTCGTCGCTGGAGATAAATGGCTGCCACAACATTTCCACTTCTGGAGTCCGAGCAGTGGGACGCTCCTGCCGGTAAACTTTCCACTCTCGCCGGAATGGAATGCTCGTTGCTTACGTTGGAACCTCGCTCCAGAAAGCTCACGGAGGTAGTGCTCAAGTACTGCCAAAAGATTGGAGACGATGGCTTGTCCGAGATTGGCAGAGGCTGCAAGCTTCTACAGGCGCTCATTCTCGTCGACTGCTCGGCCATTGGAGACTCCTCCATTCGTAGCATCGCTGGAGGCTGTCCCGGTCTAAAGAGGCTCCATATAAGACGCTGCTACAAGGTACTCGAGCTCCGCCATCTCACGCTGGCCTTAACTGGATTATGTTGCAGATTGGAGACAAAGCCATCGTCGCCGTTGGCCAGCACTGCGAGAGACTGACCGACTTGAGTATGCGATTCTGTGACCGGTATGTAGGCTCCAAAGTTTCTCGTTCTATAGTAGTTTCTTTGTGATGATTCGCAGAGTTGGAGACGATGGCCTGGCAGCAATTGGAGCAGGCTGCTCGGAGCTCAAGCATCTGAACGTAAGTGGTTGCCATCGCGTTGGAGACGCTGGCATTTCTGCGATTGCGAAAGGATGCCCAGAGCTGATACATTTGGACGTGAGCGTTTGCCAGGTACTCACTCAGTGATGACTTTGCGAGTTAACTCAGCTCGAGTTCTTTTTCTTCCCAGAGCGTAGGCGACGAGGGACTCGCAGCGCTGGCCGGTGGATGCCGGAGCCTCAGAGAAATCATACTGTCACATTGTAGAAGTATCACGGACGCCGGACTGGGTTTCCTTGTGGCGTCTTGTACCAAACTCGAAGCTTGTCACATGGTTTATTGTCCATACGTAACTGCTGCAGGAGTCGCGACCGTGGTGACCGGTTGCTTGAGCATCAAAAAGGTGCTGGTCGAGAAGTGGAAAGTTACCCCCAGGACGAGGCGCCGGGCCGCGTCAATTTTAACAGAGCTCTGTATGGATCTATAGCGAGAAACATGATCATCTGTAACAAGTTACACACGGAATGAAAAGAACAAAAAAACTTTCGCTTACAAATGTTACAAACGCTCCAAATTAAACAAAATGTATGGAGGAACCAAAAAACAAACCCCCTCAAAACCTGTGGTAAGAACAGTTAAAAGCCGACTTGAAGGAATGCTCTAGGAAACATTTACCTCGAAGAAAACAAGGAACGAGATCGTTGCAAAAAAGTTCGATCATGCCGTCCATTCCGGGATGTTCCTCGGGGGCCAGAGCTGACGTCCACGAGAAGGCGGACTGACCCTGTCTGTCAATCCCTTGGACTTCAAGTTAACAACCGAGCGACCACCATCTACCAAGTCGGGCGAGCTGAAAAGAAAAACTTTCGACGCAGGAACCTCTCGTCCTGCTGCTGAAACATCCAGACTACCTACTTTCCCCCACTGCCTCCTATCCAACACTGGCGTCCCGATCGTGGAAAACGATGCCTGGTTCTGGCTACTAACTCTATGACTGTATGGCACATGTCCACTAGTTGGAGCTGATCTCGAGAAGTCACCGCTATGAACTACACCGGCCTTGTTTCCCAAAAATGGAGACGACGAGTTCCTGCTGCTTGCTCTTGCCACTTCCGAGTTAATATGTGCACTGTGGCCCCTACTCGAACTAAAGGCTTGCAGCGAAGTGTTCCTTTCAATGCCCCGCTTAAGATCTTGGAGCTCGTTATCCAGCCTTGAAAGCTCCTGCATATTAAAAATACAAAGTGGTTAGTTTTTTTGGACACGCGAAAGTCATACCCTTTGAAGCATTTTGTTGTCTACAGCCTGTTGTCCACTTGGCTTGTGCCTTGTAGCACTCGTCAAGCAATGATCCGAATCTTCAGTTTCACTGCCCTCGCTACCGGCGTCAACACCAGTGGTGTTTCCATCCGCCAGTAACTCATGCGTGCATTGGCGTACGCGGCAGTCGGCTGATCGGGGCTTTCGCTTGTGCTTCAAAGGAGTCACCACCTTTCGAGCTCCATGAGCTGTCTGAGAGCGCAGCCTCGAAGAGCATGAGCAAGACGTATCTGACCCCGTATCTGTTCTCCCCAAAACCCCGCTTTCCAACAAGACCTGCTTGCATATCTCCCGGAACTTCTCCGGAGACAGGTCCTTGCTATTCTCAACCGTGTCACCTTGAGGCTTCACGTCGGGAAGAGGAGTCGAATTTCCCAAACACTTCGCCTTGAAATTTGCCTGGCCGATGCAGTCACTCTCTGTTAGTCTCCAATCCATGTTTGGAGTGCCGGGAGACATTGGCGTGTCCAAAGGTTCCCGAATAGAACCATTGCTGGACACTCGAAACTCTTTCGGATTTTCTCCATCGCTTCTGGGAATCTGAATAATGTTTGAGAACCGTGTTGCCGAAGGTGTCATAGGCTGGCCATGCATCGCGGGAGCATTGGATGAATGTGACCGCCCTGACATCGGCATGCCGTCCTCTATCATTATTCCTTGTTGAGCAGCAATTTCCAAAATCTGGTCGTGGTTTAGTCCCGAGCTTTCCAGTAGCCGCCACATATTGTTCAAGGCCTCTCTTTGATCCTGAATTATCTGATCCCTGATAGCCATTTGAAATTGCAGCTCCATATTCGTCATTCCCTGCAGTATTACGGAGGAGTCCGTTAAAATGCTTACGAAACTAAATGGCTTACCAATAGCCTATATTGGCTAAGGATGCGCAGATATGTTTTATTGCGATTGCTGCTAATAGCCTCATCAATCTGCCGCTGAAGCTCTTTGCGTTGTTTCTCATTGTGTTCAATATCCTGGTACAAAACAACACAATCAGCAGCGACTAAAAGGGATAAAATCAGACCTGTCGGTAATGAGCCCCAGCTTCGTCATTGTCCCGGATATTATCGAGCACTACTTGCCTCCTTTCGATAAGGTCATCTAGCTTCTCACCATCCCCTTCTTCATCCTGATAAAACAACAAGATCAGATGAATTATAAGTGCCGCAGAATCCTCACCTGATGCTGTGCAATTAGCTCGTCAAGCTGTTGAAGCTCCATTCGGTTGTGTAAATTCATGTCCTCGAGCTCAAACAACGCCTTCTGCAGATTGACTCGCATTTCCACGTTCTCATTGATGTCGTGACTCAAAACGTCCAACCATGAAAGCTCGTCATCAGCCTTTTCCGGGGTCCGGGAACTGAGCTGAGTTTCCTTCTCAGCAAGCTCCCTGCGCAGTTGACTTACTTCCACCTATAGACGTTACACAAGCTTAAAAGAAGCATAAAAGATTACAGGCTTCTTACCTGAAGATTGTCAATCATTCGTTGATAATCTGCAACATGTGCATCCACAGTTCCCACATTTGTCTGGACAATCAAGAACTGTAATTAGTGGAGTGTAATCACAACGTAACATACCTGAATGTGAGTTTTGATTTCTTTCGCTCGGTCAGCATATTTCAGAGTATTGGTTGTATGATGATACTGATCATCGGCACAGGAAACCGTCGCAACCATCACGGTACGCGAATTGCCACTTAAGCCATCTTTCAGAAGCCGCGTCAGTTTGCTGGAAGGAACAAAGTAGCAATGACCACTGAGAAAAAAGTAGCGAGCTACCTGTTACGATATGGGACATAGGCGAGGCCCTTCTTTTGTTGCTTGCCAAGAGCGTTGATACAATTTGCTAAAGCAAGCAATGAACGGTTGATATTAGCCCCGTCTCTCAGCTTTTGCCCAGCATTATTCGTTTCCGATGCTCTTTCACTGCAAAAGAAAGAGCAAATGTCTCAGGGTCTCGAGATGAAAGTGACAGACAAACCTTCCAGCAAGGTCGACAAGCGCCAGCTTTCCTCGTAAGACTTGAGATCTGTATTGATTTCTTTGTTTCCTCTTCACAATTATTTCTAGAACGGCATGTGATCTGCACACAATGAGGGCGTTAGGCTTGGATATTAACAAGAAAAACTTGCCTCGAAGACGTGGCATTGGCATTAGTGCTTTCCGTTTTACGACGACTGTTCCCAAGGTTGAGAAGCTCCAGAATCTTTTCAGCTGAGTTTACCTGACGAAGTAAAAGCGTCAAGATTTTATTCCGTTGAGTTAAACTTCGTCACCTGGATTCGTTTTAGACCAGCAACCGTGATGCCTTGATCGGGATCTTCTCGTAGTTCTAAATGACCAGACGATTTCTCCAACAAATCATAAATAACCTGCACTACGACAACTGAACTTACTACAAAAATTCCGACGAAATACCGATTGGTTCTACCTCATTGTAAACTTCCAAGTAGGAGCAAGTAACCTCGAAGTCATGTTCTTGCTCCTGCTTAGTTATGAGGCCAAAAATCTCTTGCAAGCTTAGAACCATCAGACCTGGATCCTCTGGCAAACCAGCCATCGTGTGAGTTTTGCCACTGAGAGAAACAGCGCTCTTAGCAACAACAAACACTATTGATAATTCATAAATACCTGCCGGTGGCTCCATACGCAAACACCGTAGCGTTCAATCCCCTCAACACCCCCTCAATCATGGATCCGACAGTAACATTGTACACATCCTATTAAAGAATTCATATAGCGGTGCGACAACACAGATCCAGATTTTGACATTACCTTGTTGGAGCATTCTGGTCCAAATGCAACATCAAAAACGTATTTCTTTTCCTTGCTTCGATTTTGAACCCGATCCAGATATTCTTTAGAGGAATCCGGGTCCAGCACAACGACCACCTACAGAAACATTGCAGTATCTCAGGCTGGAAGCTCGAGCACGCTCTCTCGTACCTTGTCATCGACTACTCGTAAAATGTCTCGGCTCTTGGTCTGTTCCTTCGAAGTAAGCGGACGGCATCTCACCGCAACCTACGGTTTCCAAGGTAGATTCATTCACAAGAGCTCCGAGAATCTAGAGAAAACATACCAGCAAAGTGGTCGCCTGTTTGGATTCTGGAGGTCGAATTGCCCGCATCATTTTCAGTCATCACTAGGATCCAGGCAGCTGTGGCAGAACTAGCAAATCATCGCCTGGAGCCTGGACACCACAGCCAATGGCCTCGCTTGATGCTGCATGGCGAATTCACCATTCTTTTCTCGCATTGCCAGACCGGGCCAGCAGCGCCCCTAAGCTACGCGCATTCCCTGATCTACATTCTGCATTACTGATTCCTGCTGAGACATGAGCGCATTGTCTCCTGGAAATCCACGGGCCCCGATCTGCAAACCCTAAGGCGCCAAACCCTACCGCCAAGAAATCGCGGAGGGAAGAAGAACGACCAGCGAGGCCAGAAAGAAAAGAAAGGCGCGGTAACAAAAAATGGTGGAGAATGGAAGAAGGGAGAAGAAGAAGGAATAATGTGGGGACGGTCGGTGGCTGGCAAAATAGCGTTTTTACTGCAGGATAAAAAATGCCACGTCACACGATCGTGGAAACGGCCGAAACAGACGGCGGGAAGTTTTCATGCAATCCAAAAGAAATGGAGAGGATATTCCAGCACGGACATTCCGGCAAACGCGGACGGCGGGGATGACGGAAGAATCAACGGTTTGGGATAGTTTGGTAGATAACGAGGCCGAGGCCAAACGGGAAAGCTACCAGTATATCCTCTGATGTACAAGGAGTCCTGCAAGAACTGCAAGAACAAGGACTTATTTGTTCCATTCAGCTGGTAGAATCTAGCTTAGAGCTTGTAAGCGTGGATTGTTAGAGAAACTTAAACGCCAATGCTATATAGGAAAAAAGAATGAAAATTTGGTGTACATACAACTTATCATTATAGTGGAGCCACTGCTTGAGCTTGTTCTTCGTCTTCGAGTGAGTCCCAACAAGCTGAAAAGCGTTAAAGAAAGAGGGGAAGAAAACGTAAAAAGCTTAAAGCAAGGATACAATCTTCAGCCCACAGCTCTGTGATTCCAGCGCCAGCGCCGTCAGAGACAAGCCAGTAGTCCGTTTCACCCTGACAACAAGAGACTAACACGTTTGAACAAGCGTGAGGAACTGCTTACCTCCACTTCAGTTGGCAAAATCTTCATGATGCCACCACCATCGCCAGAAACTCCAGTGGATTTCTCTGTACCGGACGGTGCTTCTTCCTGCGGCTGCGGAGGAGACGAGCTTTGGGAGCTTCGTAGTACCACGGAGTTCTCAGAACCGTGTTGCAACGTGATGTCGATTGATTCGTTTGTCTCGCCGTAGTGACTGTTATAAGGATTAGCGCAGCAAAGATAAACAGAAGTAGAAAAAACGTAATTGCTACCTCACGAGATAGACATCAATCGGCCCAAACGCACTTCGCAAAAGTATTTGGTACCTTCTTTGAGGATACTCCACGGCCTACAGAACACAAGAGTCTTTTAATCAGAAAGTGAATCGCTGCAAGCGTTACCTCGTCGGGATCAGGAACCTCTAATGTTGTCCCTTGGGGTGCTTTTATTGCGATCAAAGTTTCGTTCTGTTCATTGAAACTCATCGTATACAAGTTGCCACACGGTCAAGCGAGCAAACTAGTTACCTGGAAGCAAGGAAGTCCCTTTATATCGTCTTCAGTAACATAGAGCCATCTGACAGAAAGCACATTTCAAACTGTGAAGTCTGAAAATAATACGTACTGCTGGTTGCTCACGTCCTCACACATGGTTTTCAGTTTTTCTCTCATCGCCCTGTACCAATATCGGGGTTTAGTACATCAGAAAGACAAATACACCAGAAAGCCTACCTTATTTTCTCGTCCAGACTCTCTTCTTGAGCATGGAGGTCATCAACTTCACTCTTGTCAACAACAGAGACAGGTTTTAGCAAAAAGATCACCAAAGTTTTTGTAGATACCTGAAGACTCGATAAAAGACCAGTACTATCCGAGTCTGCCACGGACAGCCCCAGTCCCCTGAGCATTAACAAAGAAAATAGCAAACATCATAAGACGAGACGAGCTTAGCTTACTTCCATCTTATTCTGTTCTTTAGCTTCTTCTCAATCAGGCCAATCCCTTCGAGCACATTCGTGATATCATATATCCTCCGCTTTTGGACCTGCTCGAAAGAAATGAACTCAACAAAACTAAAGGAAAAAAATGTTTCAAGCTTACATGTAAGGTGTCCGCGGCATTGTTGAGATCGAGAACGCCATCCTCCGCTTGATCGATCAGATTGATAAACTTCTTTGTCAATAGTCCTGGCAGAAAACCAGACAAATCAGTGTACAGCACTGACGAATCGTACCTAGAGAGCTGTCGTATCTACAAGTGCTAGGCGCTGGAGAGCCTGATCGAACGAAATGAGCACAGTGTGAGCGGCTGATCGCGAGAAATCGCTTACCAAACGAGCTACCTGGCCCCGATTGCGGCAACCCTTTCCTTGCGTTCTTCATCCGGCTGCCGCTCCTCGTTCCAGATGACAAAGGCCCCATGGATGGAGGAGAGGCCGAAATATCAACAAGAAACTCACACTAGCGCCGCTGCGCGCTCCTCCGCGCCATCGTCAAGCGGATTAGGGCTCCTAGCTCCCATTCCCGCCCTCTCTTTTTTAACAGAGTGTTTTAAGGTTGCTAAAATTAGGGCATGGGCCGCCTTTAAATTTTCTTAGATAAAAACACGCTTAGCTTTTACCCGCTCATGTAAATCACAAACCAAAGAGTCGAGATTATTCCGTGAAGATCCTTTGTTCTTCATGGCAGCTCTTACCACTTCTTTGACGCGCCTGGCATTCTTCCAAATCTCGCTAGTTTTTGGGTCGGCTTCCATAAGAGCTTTGATCGAGTTCTTGAGATCATCCTTGCGCGCCAGCTCTCGCCCCAATTCAATCCCTCGCACTCCAACTCCAATGCCCCATTCGTCGATCACAAACTTCGCCGTAAGAACTTGATCGCCGGTAATGGGCCTAGCCACCATGGGCATTCCAAACGACATGGATTCCACCACGGAATTCCAGCCGCAGTGAGTGAGAAATCCACCGACAGATCTGTGTCCCAGAATCTCCAGCTGAGGCGCCCAGGACACTACCAGCCCTTGATCTAGTTTGGACATTCTTTCCTGAAATCCGGGAGGAATTAACGACGAGTCTCTAATTGCCCACACGAATTCCTGCCTCGATTCTTCCAGAGCCGACGCGAGCTCCTCGAATTGCCCATTGGCTACTGACATCGTAGTGCCAAATGCGACGTAGATCACACTGGAATCTGGCCTCGCGCCCAGCCACTGGATGATCGCGCTCGGCTCCTTTTTGCAATCTTCTCCTTGCGGGGCGCTGGTGCCCAATTTGTCGGAGAGGAGATGCAATGGCCCGATGGGCTTGATGTTTATCCCGCTGCCGATCAGGGAATCGACTGCTGGCTCTTCAATCCCCTCGATCGAATTCACTAACACTCTGTCAGCCTGGGGAATCTTGTGAACGAGTTCCTTGTAAGTGTGGAGGACTTTGTGGAGAGACTCGTATGGAATGAACCCAAAAGTGGGATAATTCTTTGGCAGCAGCGGTGGAAGCCCAGGAATCGAGAACTCCTCGTCGGATGGATCGCCTGGAAAACGAAACAGAGGTCGAAGATTTTGACAGAGAAAAGTTTCTAGGGGCTTTTACCTGCGAATGGAAAGATGCCGCGCTCGATGAGACGTGGCATATGGTGATACACGAGGAGCTCCGCCACGGTCGACGTCCACAGCGCGATCCACGGCACCTCGAGCTGAGCGGCGAGATCGCGAGCCCATCCAACGTAAACATCCGAGATCACGCAAGAGATTGGGACGCCGGAGCTCTGGCTGAGCTCCTCCGCGATGGCTAGCATCGAATCGTCGTCATTGAGAGCCTGGAATCGATTGAAGTAACAAAGGACCTCCTCCAACCTCGCTCCATGATCGTCCTTGTGAACTGCTGGCCTGGGCTTGGTTGGTTCGAGCGGGAGGCACGACCTGATTCGCACGCCATTGTCCCACTTCTCGACGCCAGAGCTCTGTGAATTCTTGGGGGCCTTGAGGAGAGTGACGAGACACCCCGACGCTGCCAAGTGCTGGCAAAGATGGAGGAGTGGAGTGATATGCCCAGGCATTACGTATGGAATGGCAACTACGTGAGGACCTTGAGAGCCCATTTTTTCCTCTCTGTTTCTCTATGATTTGTTTTTTTATAGTTAGAGTCTGTAGGACACGTGGTGGATGACGTGGACATAAGTGGCACGTCAAGGGGACGGCTGGAGGATAAAAAGGAAGCAAAGGCAAATTTGCGAGCAAGCACTGGTTAAGATCCAGTCAAGGTGGGCTTGATCCATGGGTAGACCCGAGTGGACCTTGCTTGGGCTTACGCCCATACTAGAACAGTTATAAACTATATTCATATTTAGAATTATAAATTGTTTTCCATAAGGTGTATAATTATTAAGCCTCTTGGAAGATTTCTGCTGGATAGTGTTGAAATTGGTCTTCTTTGGAATGAAAATACATGAAGCTCAATTGCATACTCTCCTTATGAAGTAAAGAGTTTATGATAAATATTATGATTAATTGTTTTATTAATTCACACATAAATATGGCCAAGAGTCTCATACCTTAATTAAAAAAAGCTACCATTGCCACTACTTCAGTATTATGTATCCATAAAGTCTTTATATTTACCATCTAGCTGTATACTTTAATACCTAAATAAATCACACATAAAAGAAGACCTTTTCTACAATTTAATTGAAATATTGTTATTCATTCTTAAATGTAGTATTAGTTCTTTATGTAGAATAGATTTTATAAAGTGTCATGTTTTTTTTTGTGAAATTCAAAGATCAATAATAAAATATATCGTCATTGTCATGCTTGGTCAGTGTGAAAATGGATCATACATACATTACAAAGTTTAGATTACTGTTTAGAAGTTAATCAAATATATAAGTTTACTCATTTTGATTAAAGTTTTAACTTGTATAAAAGATATTGTAATAAATTTATCATCATTCCCACATTTAAAAAAATTCTCTAAAGTGATTATAATTTAAATAAATATATTAAATATTCATATTTACTAATTTATTCCTTTTCTGATAAAATAACTCAGTCTTCAATTTTATAAATATCTTGAAAACAATTTACTTGCAGTTTTATTTAGATAGCACATGTGGCACAATGCTATATAAAAAATTATTTAATTATAGTAAATTTAAAGTAGAATAACATTATTCTATAACATCCTTTTAGAGTTCATAATTTTCAATAAATGCTACAACTTAATAAGCAATAAAAAAAATGAGAGTGAAAGGTAAATATTCTATCAAAATAGAATACTAGTAGAGTACCAATATTTTCTTTTAATTTTTTATATATAAAAATACGTCATCTAAATTCCTTAATCTGGACATCACTCATCATATTACTATTAAAATCTAAAGATGTATAACTTTATATATGAAAAAGATGTATTATTATTTATACACTAATAATACACAAATACCTAAGCTGTTCCATTCACCTAATAGTGGTTGAAGTTAAAGTCCAACAAGTGTAATATATTTTGACCAAAAACTTCAATGCAAAAAATTAAGAGTAAGAAAGAAAATTTCAAAGAAGTATTGAGGAACAAGCATAAAACAATTGATAAATAAGTTTTTAAAAATAGACTAACACTTGGCAAATGTCATATAGAGAGAGAGAGAGAGAGAGAGAGAGAGAGAGAGAGACACACATAGTCATATAAAATATTTAGAGTTTCATTGGGTAATTATAGACAGCTACAAAAGCCTGAAGCTCGTATAAAACCATTAATGTAATTGCTAATAACCATGATAGAAACAAAGCACAAATCCATGGCATAAATAGTTAATATAGAATCTTGATAAACCAACTATAACTTTATATAGTGTAGCGTATGTGATCATGGGATGAGATTTGGATATACTATCACCGTGGATCCTTGGAACCTTGGGGGATAAATGGGGATAAAATAGCCACTAAGGGCTTTTTCATCAAGCAATTGCCCTTTTTCCAGTTGGCTTAAGGGGAGAGAGATAAAGTGTGCTACAGTTGGTATCAGAGAAAATGGCACGGGTTTGATTCCCATTGATTAGTGGCTACTTAAAAAATATAATATACCCTTGAGCAAGGTATATTCCTACCCCTAAATTTGAAATCGTATGTATTGGGCATCTATGCGTACGTCCTTCCTCTTGTGTGGAATATCCACGGACGAAGGTATCCACCGTGGACTGCAGTACAGGTGGATGACTAGTTGCTTCACATAGAATAGTTGGTCTATACAATGGAAGGATTGGTAAATTGAGTGCGAAAATGAAGGTGCTAGTTCCCCTTGGCTCAGTTGGGGTTGTTAGTCAATAGTCAATGAAGACATTGACATTTCTGAAAAGGGGGTGAGTGTAGCGCATGTGATTATGGGATGAGATTTGGATATACTGTTACCGTGGATCCTTGGAACCTTGGGGGATAAATGGGGATAAAATAGCCACTAAGGGCTCTTTTATTAAGCAATTGCCCCTTTTCTAGTTGGCTTAAGGGGAGAGAGATAAGATGCGCTACAATATACAATTGCCAAATGCTCAAAGCTATAACTTTGAACCAAAGAAAAAGAGGTTTTAAGAGCTATTGTAGTAAAAGAATTGCTATTAAAGCAAATAATAAAACCTACCTTTTTACCTGGTAGGCATCCTCTATTAACTCAAACTAATGATTAAAGTTTACCTTTCTATTTTCTCTTCTATCAATATTTAAGACCTATATTAACTCAGACTCATGATCTTTGCACATTCAACTCTATACATGGTAGGTTAGACTCATTTCATTCATCCTTTACATCCTTTTTATCATCTTTTGGAAAGAAAAAAAAGTTTTAAAGCATTTGTTTTGTTTGGAATTATTGCACTTATCCTTACTTTTCTATTTATTTTCGACCTCATTCCACTATTATATCCATTTAGCCTCAGTATGTTTGGGTTAAATGTTTCATTCAAACTCACTATGCTTATCCTCACTTTACAATTTATGTAGTTTGTCTCTATTCCACTACTATATATATTCCTCCTTACTCCATTATTAGAGCCAAACTCTTGTCCATCTCCTTTACCTTTTCTTCTTTAAAGTGTTAGGGAACAAAGAAACATTGTCAAAGAAAAAAAAAATGGATAAAAAATATTAAAAGAAGAATTTTTAGTAGTTAACATGGAAATAAAGCAATAGAAAAAAAAAATACTTAAAACTTGGTAAATAAAGAACCTATTGTTATAAAATACTTTAAGCACCATAAGATAAATAAAAAATTCAAACTACTCATAACACATAACTTAACACTTGAAATGTGTAAATTAGAAAAGTGTATACTCTCAAGGGAATATATAAAATCTTTTGTAACAATAGTAAAACAAAGGCTCTCAATAACATTTATGATATAAAAATATACTTAAACTTAAAACTCTGATAAAATTGACTAAACTCTTAGAAAAGGGGAATACTCAACACCAAAAATAATTTTAAAAAACTGTTAATGTGATAAAAATAAAATTCTCAACCACTCTTAACTTCTAGATCATTTTGAGA